CAAAGTGTCTGGGTGGGAATGAGGGTTTAAAATGGGGGTGTAAAAACTCTACAGACAATTACATTGCCCTCCGATTTAATAGCTAAATTACAGGCGCAGCTACAAACCATGTGGCATAAACATTCACAGCCTGCTGAAAGCACAACAACATTGATCAGTGATGTACGTGAATACAAAACTCAGTGCAAGCAGGCAATGATTGTTGTAATTAATTAAAGCTAATTATCACCCTGAAAATGTTTTGAAACCATTGACCTTTTTCGGATTGAAAGTAAAGAACTTCTGTTAATGTCAACATGAAATGCCATTTGCAAACCATGCACTTGTGAGTTAAATGGGATGTTCAACAAGAAAAAAAATGTTGGGTGGGGCCTGATTTTATCCATTGGGCATTGAATAGATTGTAAAAACTGGTCTTGGACGTCGTTGGTGGGGAGGGGCTGATAAATATGACAGCGAAAAACGTATTACATTCTGAGATTTGTTTTGCTTTGGAACCATGCACAATAGGATCAGGAATGTGGATTAGGAAAGTACATGGGGTACATTTAGATTTTTATGTTGACTTCAACACTAAAAAAAGTAAAAATAACTATGTCATGTACATAAATTTGGACAATATTATTACTAAAATAAAATAGTCTGCTATTGTTTAATACCGTAGCTGTGAACCCAGGGCAAATAATAATAATAATAATAATAATAATAAATAAAACAATTCTGATGGTCTGCCATCACATACATTTTTAATAGACTGTTTGCATTATTACTACGATAGTGGGGTAGTTTTGCTTTATAGCCATGAAAGTAAGTGACTCGGTAATAGCTAGAACATTATCAGTGAACATTGGTAAACATTTCACAAATCCAAAATGCTTCGGATAGTTTCATTTCAAGTCTTTTTGGAACAGAAAAATCAGTGATTAATCCAAAACAAGCTTCCATTTTATATTAGCAATAAGAGATGGCAAGAGGATGTGGATGTAACATTTATGACAGCTGTGAGTTTGACGGAGCAACTCTCTTGTTAGATAAATTATGCTGGCAAATTTCACAAAACTCCAAACAACAGTTGCTTTTTCTTTCTAACTCCAGTCTGTACTCTGAATGTGCTGTAGGATTTTTCAGTACATAGATGTTGATAAAGGGTAATTTGCTGCTTCTAGCTGCTGTTATGTAATGCTGATGTGAAATATTAAACATGTAAAGCTCAGGACTGCCAAATCTATGCTAGAGAAAGTGCTTTATGTTAACCCCCTAAACTGCACGCAGGTGGCAGACCTTATATCTTGAGCAGGGTGTTCTTGCAAGAGTATGGAGTTTTCTTTCTCCCTGGTGCTTGTGTGTGTGTGTGTGTGTGTGCGTGTGCGTGTGTGTGTGTGTGTGTGTGTGTGTGTGTGTGTTTGAGGTGGTGGGAGATGGTTGAGTGTGTGTATGCATGTGCATTTGCGTATGCAAGTATGCATTTTTCCTGTTTCTCAGTGCTTCGGATTCCATAATTGAAGACTAGTGAAACGCAAGCAAAAGGCCAATAGCTGCATCTGGTCCGAGAGCATGTTAAATTCAGTGAGAATGTCTGGGGCAAAAAATGCTTTTTGCTAATGCACAAATTATTTTACTGCCTTGGGTAAGCATACATCAGTTCTTTGAGCAGATGTGGCAGATATTTACAGTTTTTTACTCTGTAATGCATACAGGCTCCTATCGCACGAGTACTGTGGTGGTACCGTGATGGTATCAGATGATGATTCCATGGTGCTTTGATAAATACACAGAGACAATATAAGGAGGAGACGTTGTTGTTCAAGACTTTCCTAGCTCAACATTTTTTATGGCACTACATTAAAATGTCTGATTAAAAATGATAGAAAATGACTTGGCCGTATATACAGTATATTTACTTTTAGTATCAATCATGAAAATATGTGAATTAATGTCTTTTAATGTACTCATCACATTCTGTACAACAGTTGTTTCTGGACTCTAAATTTGATTGGACAGTCAACATTCCAAGGATATTGATTTACAGTCCAACAGAACTGCCAGTTTTCACTGTTTATGTCACTGTTTGATTTTTTCAGTGACTCATTCTGCAAGTTAAATCGTTACGCCAGTAGGTGGCGACATACGTCATTGAGGCTGTCTCATTTCAGAAAAGAAACCATTAAAAAATAGACTGATATTTGTTGTGAGGTGTAATTACTGTAGTGTAGTGTAATGTTTTTTGTTTTGTTTTTGTTTTTCCTGAAATAAACCATCTTTGGTGGCTTATCTGGCTGAAAAATGCAAACTCTGGAGGGCACAGTCTTTGAAATGAGACACATCAAGTGAATTTATTTCTGAGAAAGTCATTGAATCATTCCTTTAGCGGAGATAAAATAGACAAAGTAACTGGCTGTATTGTGTTTAAAATAGAACTTAAGTTTTTGTATTTTGAACTGCTGTATAAAAGCAGTATCACTTTTACACTAGCCATTATGTAAAAATACAGTTTTTAGCACGTTCAGCTAAAGAAAACAATTTTATATCAAAGTTTTCAGATTTTATCTTGAAAAGCAGCTGTGGCAATTTCACTCTTTTCCCATTTAAGTAGATCAGAACTGTACCTCCATTACCTAACATGCTGCCGAGGACTGACTTGCCTTAAAGGAACTTTGTATGTACCACAGTACTGAATGATTACACACCCTGGTACTTCAAAGAAGACCATGATATTACTACGGTGCATGCCCAAAATACCATGGTAATAATACCATGGTGCATTTTTTTGTCAGCTAAGACTCACAGTCTAATCCAACATTTCTCAGTCAAAATGAAAAGATCCCTCTTACCAGTCCTTCTTTTACACATTTTACTTTGATGGTCAAAGTTGAAGCCATTATCTAAGTGGATTATAAAAAGATTACATCAGCCTCAACTGAAACCTTTTTCAGGCTTGCGGTAAAATGGCTCTGGATGCAATGAGCACATGTTGTACATGAGTAAAGGAAATTGCAATGACTAGGAGGAACCTAGGAGGAACCAGTGCGGTGAGGTGCATCTTAATTTACCGCAGCTGAGGTGGGCAAGGCTAAGATAGACGTAGTGTGTACTTCTGATCTAAAGATCAGTGTAATGATGATCTGAAAATCCTTATAAGAGGGTTTGCACAAAAGCGTTCAGTGAATTTATGAGCAAACGAGCTCCACCCGCAGCGAGGACTCTCCAGTTGTCCTGTCGCTGCACCTGCTGCCTCTTTTTCTCAATAACGGCAGTGTTTTTGCTGTGAGCTTTAAATGCGCTTATATCAGCACTCATGCTCGAGGCCTGTCATCTCCACGTACCGCTGCAGAGTTTCCTCTGCCTGCGATCTGTCTTTGATCACAACTCTCTGACTGATGAATGGCACCATGTAGTCGGCATTTCAGAGGGTAAATATCCATTAAACGTTGGGCATCTGTCTCTGGGCAGCCTGGCTGAGGAATGAATGAGAATCGGCCTCGCTGACGCCAGGTCAGTGCTATTCTGAGCTAAACATGGAGTCCTGCATTATTCATATACCTGCTTTGTGAACATATGCAAATCTGATCTCCATACTCAAATTTTTCTAACATAACCACGGTCCCCTGCAAAAGGGAGAGATATTTGATCTCTTAGGCTGAAGACTACATCAACGGATGCATGCAGAGGGTCCTAAAGAGCTTCTTTAATGGTTAGCCTTGAACTATACTAACTCTTATTGTCATGTTGATGTTCACAAATCACAGATTCAATTAACAATTCATACATTACATATATAAAACATGCTACAATACATAATGTTAAACCCATAATCCACATTTACTATCTGCATCCCATATTGCATGTTAACTGAATCGCGGGTGCAAAACTATTTTATTTGCATATTCAGATTCTCTCCCCGAGGTGATCATCAAAGTGTGAAAGTGTGCCGTTAAACATTCATCAAGATGAAGAATTACCCACCTCCATAACAATGTGAACATAACACTGAAAATAATCAGATCTTGAAGACTGGAAGTGCTGTATCCTAATTCGGAAATCTCTTTAGATCAGCTTCATCCATTTAATGCAGTAAATATTCTGTTAACATTTGTTTGGAAATAGGCCATGTTTACATTATCAGATAGGAGCCTCGCAATTTGCACAGAATGAGTTGAGGAATGCTACTGACTTTGTTTGGTCGTGGCTAAGTGGATGTAAGAACCCCCAGATTGCTTTCTTATCAATTATACATTCACTGGGACACTGCTATCCACTCTGCTTACCAAAGGAGAAGACCAAACGGCAGAGGAAGAAAGATACAGATGCAACAGCAACAAAATCCAATCTCACACATCAGCATATTGATTTCAATCCTGTGAAAAGACCAGCATAGCTGGTCTACAGCATAGGTTTTGTTTCTGAAGCTGGTCCGGTGGTACTTAACTTAAAGCAGCAAGACCTTTATGATCAGGAAGATCAACATCTACATAGCTTACGATTTGCAACATTGTTAATTTAGATAATTTTTTTTAAATTGTTGTTTTCTTTTAGTCATGTGTTATGTCTTTTTTGGTTAAAATTCCATTTAAATTTAGTCAGCAGGCTAATTTTGTCATGCCGTTGTCATTAAATTCAAGCCAACCAATAATAAAATAAATAAAAAAGTTAAAAAAAAACATTATTTAATCAATAATTTATTATTATATCATATATAATCATTATTTTATGTTTAATACTCTGTAAAAATAATTTGTTTAATTTATCAATTTTATTGAATTATTATTATTTTTTATAGTTTTATTACTTTATAATACAATAGCACATGAGGATATTAAATCTTTCAAAACTGTTATTCCTTTTATCAGTAAATTCTTTGATCACTAGGTCAGCACAAAATCAGCCTGGACCAGCATGAAAATTCAGTTTAAACTGGGAAGAAGTAAATCATGATCAAGTTCAGTCCAAATCCACACAAAAAATAAATGAATAAAAAATAAAATAATGATTATGCTGTTTACCTTAAACAGGCGGAGGATATTAGCCACCATTATAGACACGGAACTGGACGACGCTCCAATGACACCCACCACCCTTTCTGGCTTGGTAATGATGGGCGATCCTCCACCTTGGCACTTCACATCCGTGCCATCCTTTTCGATGAGGGCCTGGACAAAAGTGAGAGACTGCTCCAGAGCGTGTGTGTCCCGCGAGCATGTGTCCAGAATGCGGGCGCCCAGCGTGATATTTGGGAGCAGTTCATGGTCATTGTTGATGCGGTCCAGAGCAAAGAGCATAGCTTCCAGACGATGGATTCCCTTTTCCTTTTTTAGCTCACCGCAGGGTTTGCCCTCGTGACCCCGGGCGTGAACTGGAAACAGGCCGCCCAATGAAATATCCCCATCAATCCGGATAGAGTTTAGATGCGTGTGGCCTGGACCTTTGGGCTTCGCAGCCAAAGCAGTCAGGAAGAGGTAGAGAAGAACCAATGCTGAGCCCTGACAGCGACGGTTGGTCCATTCAACCATTTTGCCCATGGCTGAAGACATTGTAGCAAGCCGGTTTCAACCAAAGTGTGTCTATTTTTGGATCTGAGATGTGTCACAACTGAGTTGACAGGTCAATGGAGACACCCTTTGACAGGGCACAATCTTTTAAAGTTCATAGTTATGTCACGTAGCGATAGATTTGTAATTGAATGGAATGCTCATCAGGTTCTTTAGGCAGCAGTTCTGCATCAATCCGCTTTATCTCCTGTCAAGGAACTTCCTCTAGAGTCCTTTGATGAGATTAAATGTTAACCGTACGTCTTTGGTCCCTTGCTCCCTCTAGGTTTCCAATCGCCCTGTCTCCTAGTGGAGGGGGTTGGGGGTCTTGTGCTATGAACACAAAGCTTCACCAACCTGTGAGCCTTCCTGGAAAAAAAGATAGGAAAAAAGGAATAAGTAAGCACCAAAGAAAGGCGATACAGTCAGATGTTTCTGTATCAGTATGGGCATTGCAGCACTTATGTTCTTTTTCTTAAACTTTCCTTTGCAACATCTTACTGAAAACAGCTTCTTACTGAAAACCCCCTTGCTTTTTCTCACATGCTCCCTCTCTCTTCCTCTCTATTTTGAATTTAAAACGTTGCTATGGGCTCCCAATGTCGAGAGAAATATGCTTTGGCTCCCACATGTCTCTTTTCAACATTCTGAATGAAGGAGCTGCATTCCAATGAAGAGCTTCTATCCAGCGAGAGAGAATTATCTATGTAATGTGCTGTTTTCGTTTTCCCCCCATCTGGAATGACAAGCTCTGATAAAGAAAATAAGTTTGGTTGATGAAAATTGTTCTGCATACACCATATACTGACAAAAGGCAGACCCTTTAATCTTTTGCCACTATGGTCACCGCAGGATATTTAAGTTCTTGGAATTAATTGTTATTTTGGAAACCTCGGGGTCATTAATTACTTTAAGAAATGAGATTTAATTTGTATGACACTGATCTTGATGTGGGTTGAGTTGCTTCCCATAACGTTGACAGTCACTGTTATCATTACTCCTTTAATTGTTGCCTAATTGGGTTAAAATTTACATACTGGAATATTCCATTAGCTTTCTGTGTTTTCAGAATGCATGTGCGTATATTTGAGTTGCTGATTCTTCTGAACAGAAATTTTGATTTGATGGTGAGTGGCAAATACACCAAATCAATCTAGACATATTTTTAATGCTTACACATTATCGTTATCATGCACCATCATGATTCACTGCTTGACTTGTTTTCACCTCCTCCAGCACACTGAAGATATATTTTCTCTGCAATTTCAAATGTATCTATTAGTTATGCATAGCTTTAAAATCTCCCTTTATATTGCTCTTTATGTACAGTACTGTATATTTTTAAATGATCACTAAATGCACAGTTAAGGTCTTGGATACTTTCATAAAAATACTGTGCATTTCTTTAAACATGGATGCAGTTTAAGCAATTATTTTCAAGCCTTGATCCCAGCAAATCTATTTTGGCACTGTTTAGTTCACCTCACTTATTTACAAGGTGATAGAAAAATCTCAGAAATTCTCTTTTATTCCTTTGTAAGTCTTACTGACCTGCTCTCATTCTTTCTTTTTTTGTCTTATCTCATCCTCTCTTCCCACCTCCTCCCCTATTAGTGCACTATACGTTGGCTCCACACTTCTCCTCCAGTGCACAGGCACTTCAAAGAATTACAACAGGGCCTCTGAAGTGACTCTGAAATGCTTTTTCAATGTTGGCAAATGTTCTTTGATATTAAAGAGTGAACTGGGGAATCCTTCCTCTGGGAAAAGTAGTTCGTGTGAGAGACCACGGTAAGGCTTGGAGCACATGTTCCACTCTCCCACGCTCTCAGCAAAGGGAAACATTGCCAAACACGTGAGAGATGGAACACAGCCTAGATTCAAAGGTGTTTGTCTTGAATGATTTACCTTTAGGTGTTGTTAACAGTGTTGGGGAGTAACTACAGTGCCTTGCGAATGTATTCATACCCCTTCATTTTTTTCACATTTTGTTTTGTTACTGCCTTATGTTAAACTGCTTTAAATTAGTTTTTTTCCACAAAGATCTACACTCCATACACCATAATTGTCAAGCAAAAAAAAACAGGTTTTTAACATATTTGCAAATGTATTAAAAATAAAAAAAAATGAAGGGTCACAGAAGCATGTAGTCTCTGTTACCCTTAATGGAAGACGTTTTAAACAACCAGGACTCGTCCTAGAGCTGGCCTCCTGGCCAAACTGTGCAATTGATGGAGAAGGGCTTTGGTTAGCAGCATGGAAGTGTGCTGGTAGCAGTCTCATGCTGTGGGGCTGTTTTTCAGCAGCAGGGACTGAGGGACTTGTTAGAGTAGAAGAAACGCTCAGTGCAGCAAAATATAGAGATACCCTTAATGAAAACCCAGTCCAGAGCATTCAGAACCTCAGACTGGGCAGAAGGTTCACCTTCCAACAGGACAATGACCCTAAGCACACAGCAAGAGTGGCTTATAGACAACCGTGTGAATGTCCTTGAGTGGCCCAGCCAGAGCCTGAGGTTGAACCCAATCAAATATTTCTGGAGAAACCTGAAATTGTGCATCTGCCCTCATCCAACCTGACAGAGCTTGAGAGGTGAACAGGTGAGGTGAAGAATGGCAGATAATTGCCAAATGATGATGAGAAAAGCTTGTCGCATCAAACAAAAAAAGACTTGAGGCTGTTAAGGTGCTTCAGCTAAATATTTAGTTAGGTATGAATACTTATGCAACGTACTTATTTCAGTTTTTTATTTTTAATAAATTTACGAAGTTGTGACAATTCTGTTTTTGCTTTGTCAGTATGGTGTATGGAGTGTAGACTGATGTGGAAAAAAGTAATTTAAAGAAGTTTATCATAAGGCAGCAACATAACAAAATGTAAAAAAAAAAAATGAAGGGGTATGAATACTTTCGCAAGGCACTGTAAGTAGCAATGTTCCAAACTCAACTATATTTTTCAGTTTTATAGCTTTTTCCAGAATTGCAGCACTTTTTCAAAAAACAAAAACAAAAAAACAATAATGTTATAATGTCTTAGTGTTTAGCTTGACTATAGCTTAAGTTCAGTAGCTACAGCACCAAGTAACTTCCCCAACACTGGTTGTTAATAAACTCCCTTAGATTTTTAAGGCAAAGTCATGCTTTTTAGATGACTGTTGACCCATATGAAGCTGTCAGCATGATCTGCGATCATTGCTGTGAATTGCGGGGAGTGTCAGCCCTACCACAGAAGTTAATTTAATTAATTAGTTAAAGTTAATTGACACTGCATGGCTGTCTGAGGATGTAATGGAGATATAATAAGTGCTGAGAGTTTCTATCAGCAATAGGCTTGGAAACGATAGTGGATACCAGCAATTATACATTTTTGCTCTATTTGAGGTAATTTTCCGTTATTTCAGATCTGGAGTGCTAGAAACATTTTGCTGTATTAATTAGAATATTCAGAATTATTGAAATGTTGAACCTTGATTTGAAGTTCACATCAACTATAGCTTTTGCTTGTAAAGATACCATTAAAGTGGTAGAATTAACACCACCTTTATCATTTGTGTGTTTAGACTGAGAAAAATGTATCACCAGCTGTTGAGGTCTTTTGCGGGGACCAGTGATATTTAACAACTACACTTACAAAAAGCTGCATGGTAATATAGCACGATTTGAGCAGTGAAAAAAAATCAGTAATGAGTTTCCTTTGGATTTTTTGCACAATACCATGGGGTATCACCATAGTATACTTTGAATTACTATGGAGCACCAAGTAAATACCAAATTATATAGATATGGTAATAACGGTAATCTACACACACACGTTGGGTTTCCATGTTTTATGGGGACATTCTATAGGCATAATGGTTTTTCTACTGTACAAACTGTATTTTCTATCCCCTTACCCTAACCCTACCCCTAAACCTACCCCTCACACAAAACATTTTTAGATTTTCAAAAAACTTCATTATGTATAATTTATAAGCTTTGGTTTTCTCATGGGGACCAAGAAAAATGTCCCCACAAGGTCAAAAATTACTGGTATTACTACCTTGTTGGGACATTTGGTCCTCATAACGTAGGGAATACCAGGGCTTGCATTCAAGTGAATACGTTATCTAAAAATTGTTAAAACAAGTTTAAGTGTATTTTTGTCTTAATGCACAGCCATATTGCCACTTTAGTTGTTAACTTCTTAAAACATTTTAAAAACCTGCCACTTCAGTACATCAAAGTACACTTGAATTAAAGATGCATTCTTTAAAAACTAGTGTTAATATCTTAAACAGTCTTGATTCTCAAGTAAATTTATTTTGCTTTAAAGATTTTTACCTTTTTTTGTAAAGGTACACTAGTGCTTAAAGTTGAACCTTTTATGGCTGTCAGATCTACATTTTGAACACTAAACCATTACAGCCTTGAGTCTCACACCATAACTGACCACTTCTAAGCTCGCACACTTTCTGAATAACATAAGACTAGACAACATTTTCAAAATACTATTGAACCTATAGAATTTTAAGCTGAGGATTTGAAATTGCAGACCTCTAATCAGTACTGTAAATAATATGTTTATGTCATTCTGAATGATCTGCACATGTCTACGTCATCCCAAAATGTCTCCTGCAATGGGTCGTAGCACATAGCTTGATTGCTAACCAAAGGCACATTAGAGCCAGTGAGTAAGCAATCATTAAATTCCTTAAGGAAAAGGGCAATTGGATGTAGTAGACATTTTGTTAGTCTATAAAGCAAAAATACATTCAGTGTAAATACTTTAGCTTTATTTGACGTTTACAGGAAGGGAAGACTGTCAAAACAACATCCACATACTGGCACAAGTAAACACTCAAGGCACTGCCACAATCCTACAAATGAGCCAACAACCAGGTGCATAGGCTACATTGGGTTGCATGCTGGATAATGCTGTCATTTGTTGCTTTTCTCAAAACACAGATCAGATACAATGTTAATGTCGACGTTAAACAAAAGAATCACACGCAAAAAAAAAAAATGCAGCACCTTAGCGCTTCTTGCTATCTCTAGATAGCAGTTTAAAGAGATTTGTACAGGAAATTCTTTAACTGCCAATAATATTTAGCCTTTCTAAGTGCACTTATTAAAAGTTATTTCCATCTTGAGTAACCCTACAGCACTCTATTCAAGTGTGTGCAAGCGCTAGTATGCATACTGTAGAATACCAACCTTTAGTCTGCAGGCTGCCCAAGGGAGCCTCCACTTAGCAACAGGCTAATAAATCTTCGCTGGTGCAGTGTGCCGCAGAGAAATGGTATTGTTCCTCATATCCTATCTGATAACATACTCAAGTGTGTGCACAAGGAAATATTAGATATGGCAATTATAAATAGTGCTAATGA